ATTTGACCAGAGAGAGACACAGAGAGGACATGAGAAAGCAAGCCACCAGGTCTAGGACTTGAACCATGGTTGGCCACGTGGGAGTGTCCAGGACTTTAACCACCATGCCACCTGCTGGTCCCTACAATCAAATCTTTTTTTAAAAAACCTTATCCCCACCTTACCATTGCTCCATACCCACAGAACGGACGAGAAGCAAGGAGCCAGAGTAAAGGGACAGGGTGGGATGGGCGGGCGGGCGAGAGGGCACATGGGTGCTCTGGGGAATGGGACTCTGGATGAAGGGGTGCTCTGGGGTCCGGGAAAGGTCCACACTTCCTCAGAGAACAGAGGAGGAATCTCACACTGGAATGGGGCGGGTAGGAGCTTGCAGGGGGGACCTGGCCGTAGCTAAAGAGAACCTCTGCGCAGCTAGTCCTCTGGGAAGTGGGGGTTGGTGTTGAGCGCCTCACCCTGGGGACCTGGTGGACTCGGAGGAGTTGGGGCAGCTTGAGACTGAGCATGGTGGCCCGGCGCCTCCACGTTGACCTAGAGAGAGTGGGGAGGTGTCAGGTATCTGCCCTTTCCACCCAGGCGCTAGCTGGCCCGTCACCAAGCCTCACGGGCTGCCTGTGCACGCGCTTGCGTGTAGGTGATAGCTGGCGCCCAGCTGCTTCCTTCGCCGGGGGGCTGGCTCATGACCCCTAATCTCCCCCATCCTAGCTTGGGTCACTCTGTCCCCCCTCTGTTGAGAGACTGGCAGCCCCAGCCCAGCATGGAGTGAAGGGGCCTGCTTGGGTTAGAACCCCGGCCCCAGCCTTCCAGGGCCAAGTTAGGGAGAATCCCACCCCGCCAAAGCACTCTGGCGCTGCCTGGGCGGAAGGCAGAGGCTCAGCCATGAGAACATTCCTGGAGAAGCCAGATGCCAGCTGGGAGGCGGGGCAAATAGCAGCCGCTGCTGGCTCTTCTGGAAGGTTACATTTGTGCCCCGAGGTGTTGGGGTCCCTCAGCCCAAGTGCCCTGCCCCTGCGGCTGCAGCTCTGCTGCCCCCCCTGCCTCTCAGGCAGCTTTTCCGGGCACTTCCCTGGACCCAAGTGGACAGGCTGTGCCAGCAGGTGGGCAGAGCCGCCCTAAGGAGGGGGAACAGGACACTCCCCTACTTCCCCCGCCAAACTTTCCAGCCCCGCCCCCTCCCTGTGGCCAGCCTGGGCCATCCCACCCGTGGGTCTGAGCCTGGTACCATCCTGCGCCCCCAACCCCCGCCTCTGTCCCTGAAGTGGGTGCTGGGCCCCAGGTGGGCACAGGGCAGGCCTGGCCCCTGGTCCTGCACCCAGCTCAGCTCCTGGATGGCTCACCTATCCTGAGGGAACCGCCCAGCTCCCGGGGTGTGGAAAGGTGATGGGGCCTGCCTCCTCTAGAGGCTCCTTCCCTGAGCAGGGTCGGAGCTCTGTGGGTGCTGCTGCCTGGGCACAGCGGCCGGGGCAGGCCTTTACCTGTCTCCCCAGGAGGTGGAGCCTTGGAAGGTGACTTCCTTACCAGAGCTGAGGCGCTCCTGAGCCGGGGTCAGCAGACCCGGGGCTCCACAGGCGGAGTCCCAGGTCCGGTCAGCCAGGCTGACAGGGAGAAGAGTGGCCGGGCAGGCAGGGCAGGCCCGGCCTGGGCGGGGAGTGGGGGAGACAAAGGGGAGCCAGAGAACAATCCCGGCCTTGTCCGGCCTCCAGGGAGCAGCGCGGGGTGGCCCAGCCCCATTAGCAGGCAGCGCACTCAGCCTCCTGCACCCAGCCAGCCCCTCCAGCTTGACCCGGCCCCCTGCAGGCTGGCTAGGGCAGGCCAGGAACCGCCGGAGGCAGCCAGGACCCGGTGGCGCCCAGCCCCTCTGACTGCTGCACCCCCACTCCAGCTCTGCAGTGGTTGAACTGAACTGCCTTCAGGGCCCATCACACCGCGAGCTCCGAGCTCCCGATGCTGCGCAAACCGCCTTTGCCAGATGCTGGCTCAACCAGAAGGGAGCTGCCAGCCTCACTCGGCCACACCCAGAGACCCAGGCGGATCCTCTAGGACATGCACTACAGCACTGCAGCTCGGCCGCACCTCGAGGAAGAGCCAGCGGGGATGGCACACCAGCTCCAGGCGGCCCGGCCGGCTAAATACCACTGCCACCTCCCGCTCTTCAGAAGGCTCCGTGAGGCCTGGGGGGAGCGTCACAACCACCTCCAAAGCTTTCACTCATTGCCTGTTGCTTCTGTCCCCTGCCCCCGATCAAGGCAACCTCTGCAGGCTTCATGTTGGCAAGGCGTCTCCAGTCCCACCTCCCCCGGAAGAATTCCATGCAGACAGGCACCAGGAGACAGGGAGTGGCTCGAGGGTCTTTATTAGTGATGCTTGAGTCTCAGCCAGGACTGGGGGTGGGAGCTACCCCCGGTGCCCCCAGGTCTCCCTGGCTTGCCGGCTCAGAGGGGAGGCGAGGCTGGTGGGGCAGCAAGCTGAGCACCTACCCCTCCGTCCCCATCCTGCTGCAGGCCAGCCCAAGGGGGCACGAGGGCCCTGGCCGAAGCCTCCCACACAGCCCCGCTCTGGGCGGCCACTCAGCCCTGAGCTATTCATGATCTCTGCCCCACCTGCCCAACACTCCCAAAGCAGCCCCATGCCGCCCCCCCAGGCCTCTGCTCCTGGGGAAGGGCAGAGCAGGAACCCCTCAGGACAGATGGCCCCCGAGCTGCAAGGGCCACTCCTCCCGGCTGTTCCTGGGTGCCACTGCCCCTCAGCCCTCCGACAGCGAGGGCCGGGGCCCAGACTGCCGCCCCCCTCCTCCCTTACTGCCTCCCACCCTTCCCAGCACTGCGGTCAAGGACACTGCAGATAGCCACCTGATGGCCAGATGGCCTGCAGCCCCAGGTAGGGCCCACTCCCTGCCCTGGACGCCGAAGACAGCAGAGCAGGGCACTGGCTGGGCAGCGGCAGGGAGTCCAGGCCCCGTCTCTCGGCACAGCCCGCCAGGCCCTGCTTCTGTCAGAGCCCCCGCACCGGACCAGCGTGGCCCTACCCCACAAAGAGAGGTGAAAGGACGGGTGGTCCTCGAGGAGGGGAAGGGTCTGCAGAGACCCACCCAGACACCTGGCATTACTCAACTCCTCCCCCAAGGCCTGCGGGGTCCAAACTCCTGGCCCCAACCACCCTCCACTCTGGGTGAGAAAGAAGGGCTCCTCTGCTGTCCCTCCCCGTGAGGTCCAGGAACCACTCCAATGAAGCAGACCCGCCTGCCACCTGCGAACCACTCCAATGAAGCAGACCCGCCTGCCAGCAGCCCTAGGGACAGCAGCAGGGAGCTGAGGCAGGACGGCTGGCTCTGGGCCCGCAGGCCTCGCCTACTCCAAGCACCTTCTCACTTCCCTGACGTCGTCTTGGCAACAGGGGCACCCCACCCTCCCAGCCCGCTCCTGGGCCCTCCCTGCAGCCTCTGCGCCACTGGGCCCACTGGGCTTCCTTCTGTGTGTGTGCGTGAGTCTGCGTGCGGGGGTGACTACAGGTGGTGGTCCCGGCTGCCAGGGAAGGCAGGAGATCTGGAGTCAGCCCCACTGCAGGGCCTGCGGTCAATCTCAGCCCATCTCCTTCCACTGCTTGTAGAAGTCCAGAACATTCTTGACGTCCACACTGGCATGGGCAGCGGCCTGCAGGGCTGCCTGAGGAATGGGCGGGCGGACAGACAGGGGAGGCCTGAATCCTGGGACAAACCATTCAGGGGCTAGGGAAGGGATGGTGGGAGAGGGGCCCAGCAGGTCTGGAGGGTCCGCAGGTAGAGTCTACGCAGGTTCCTCCTCCTCGTGCCTTGCCCCACCCCTGCCCATGTACCTCACCAGCACCCACCTGCACGGGGCCTGAGAGTGCGCTGGGGCTGTCCAGTGGAAGGCCCGTGACGATGGTCACCATGCCACTTGGGTCCTCCTCACCTGCCCCCTGGGCCAGAGTCAGCTGTTTGCAGCTGTCCAAGATCTTATAGAGAGTCCTGGTGGGGGGAGGAAGTTGGGCCAGGCCCAGTGTCAGCACAGCCTGGACGCCAGGACCTCCGGGCTCAGGAGGACACCAGGAGAGCCAGGACAGCGAGCGGAGGACCCGGGGGCCCACCCTGGCACGTATGCTGTGGGGGAGCAGCCAAGGAGCCAGGAGAGTCCAGCCCGAGCACCTCGGGGCGGGGCTCGGGCCCCCCGGGCGGGGTACTCCGGAGGAGCAGCTGCCGGTGCTGGGGGCTGAAATCTCACCAGGCGTCTGCATCCTGCCTCTTCAGCTTGTGCCGCTCCAAGCTCTTCCCCACCTCCTTCTGGCAGCGAATGTACCTGCACAGGAGATGAGTGAAGGTGGCCAGCGGACCTCACACAAAGCAGGCCGCTGCGGCTCTGGAGGGGCACGCCTCTTCCACCCCGGCTCTGTTTGGAGCCATTTGGAAGTGACTTCCTGGCTGCTGGGCCCAGCTCCTACATAACATCGACTCTGGTTCCTCCGGGGAGGAGCTGGGAGAAGCAGCAGGCGCTTTTCAAGTCGGGCTTCTGGAGACAAGATCCACACAAGAGGCTTTGTGCGTCCTGCCCAGGCCAAGGCAGGCGGGGAGAGGGCCAGGCCAGCTGGTGGGAGGGGGGTGCGTCCTCCTTGTCCTCGCACCACTGCCCATTCCTCCTCCCGCAGGCCTGCGCCAGGCTGAGGGCCTGCACGTGCAGCTTGTCTCGGCCTGGTAGGGCTGTCTTGCCACTGCCTCAGCTCGGCAGGGAGGTGGAAGGCCCTGGGTCCCCCGGGCCACCCTCTATTATGGCACTTCGGACTGGTGTTTACCGATCTCTTTGGTGTCGCTCCCTGAGCAGGAAGCAAACCGTGAAGGGGGACTGTGGTGCAGGCTTTGCCCACAGGGAGCGGGCAGGACACACACAAGCTGCCCACAGACTTGCAGCTCTCCCGGGCTCAGCCGGGCCTGCACTCACCTGTTCCCTTTCTTGAACTCGGCCTCCAGGTAGCGGATCCCATCTCGGGCCCCTGGGTGTTCCTTCTTCAGCAAATCCAGGCCGTCGATCACTGGTGGGCGAGGTGGGAGGAGGACAAAGCAGATCTCAGACTCCTGGGACACAGGGCTCAGTGGGAGGAGTCTGAGCTCACCCCGGGACACACTGCCAGGGGGAAGGGCCCTGGCTCCCTGCAGGACTCCAAGTTCTCTGCAGGCATGACCTGTCGGCCACGGATGTGGTAACTGACCAGGGATCTTCACTTAGACTCTCTGCCGTTTCTCCCAACCATCTTGGGCGACACTGTCTGGCCTACTTCACAGAGGAAGTGAGGGGCTCAGAGAGGTGGTGGGACTTGACCAGGGTTGCTGTGCAGTGTAAACCAGGACTCAAACAAGGGTGTCCTGATCCTGAGCTCAGTGTCTCTTAGCCACTCTCTTACCTGTCCCCCTAACGCCCCAACAGGCTCACCTGTCCTTGGGATGATGACAATGAAGCGGCCACTAGTGGCCAGCTGGCGGATGACAGGGAGGTGGAGGCAGAGGGCCTGGGTGTCGGGGACGAGGTAGGGAGACATAGCCGACTGGGCCTTGGGCTGCTGCAGGCTGCCCTCCAGCTGGGAGACCTCAAGCTGGTGAGAGAGGGCAAAACGGGTGGAGTGGCAGAGCAGCGACGCTCATATCAGCTCACGGCTCTCCTGCTGCCACTGCGGCAGGGTAGGCCTCCTGCCACCGGTCTTGTGGAAGAGCAGACAGGAGAAGGTTAAGGGAAGACGGAGAGGGGACAGGAGTAAGGCCAAAGGAGCACAGGGCTCAGAGGAGAGTAGTAGGGAGGAAGAGGCCGGGGGTGTGGCAGCGTGCAGGGGGAACTGTGGCTGGGGCAGAAACATCTGCCCGTGGGCTTCAAGCAAGAGCCAGACTAAGAGCTCAAGGAGCATTGGGGCCCGATTTCCTACCTGGAGCCGTAGCTGAGCCATGTCTCTCATCAGCCTGTTCCGCCGAGCTTCCTCCTGTGCCTACCAGGGAAAAACCAAGTTGTGGGGGCCAGCAGGCGGTGTGGTGGTTAATGTGCTGGACTCCCATGTGGCCGAACGTGGTTCCCAAGAGGAGAATGGAGGAGAAGAGGGACCAGCAGGTAGTGTGGTGGTTTGGGCACTGGGCACTCCCACATGGACGACCACAGTTCAAGTCCTGGACTTGGTGGCTGCTTTCTCACCTTCTCTCTCTCTCTGTCTCTCTCTGATCAAAATAAAAATAAATGAATGGGGGGACCAGCGGACGGCGTGGTGAAGGCGCTGGATACTCCCACATGGCCGACCACAGTTCCAGTCCCAAACCTGGTGGCTTGCTTTCTCACTTACCCTCTTTCTCTCTCTGTGTCTCCCTCTGATCAAATGAAAATAAATGAATGAAATAATTAAAATTAAATAAATAAGTGAATGAATGAATGAACGGGGACTAGCAGTTGGCATAATGGCTGTGTATTAGACTCCCATGTAGTTGACTGCAGTTCAAGTCCCAGATCTAGTGGCTTAAACTCAGGCCGGGCACGTG